ACCAGGACTTTGGAATAAGCAGAGACTGACTCAGAGGAATCCAATCCAAGTTTGACACAATACTTCCAGAACAGCAATGATTTAGATTTACAGCATGTAGGTATGCAAATAATGTTACCATCTATTAATTGTGCCACACAAACTCTTCCTTTATACTCCCAAGACTGCATTAGGACAAGAAAACTGATCTCAGAGTCAACTCTAATTGTTTTTATCTCGATTTGTATGATTTGGGAAGTAAAACCTATCTCTTTTCATCTCTTTTAGGGCCTCCACCAGTTCAAGGAGCTGGTCATGCATTTAGATGCCTCTGTCTCAAAGTTTTTGTTGCTTCATTTCATAAAAACATGGGACAGGAAGAGACTTACTGGGTCACCAAGATCAGTCTCCTACTGTTCCAGGCAACTATATCATATACTTTAGCAATCCCTTGCAGTCAAGGATGACTGTCTTCCATATGATTGTTTATCTGTGGGTCCAAAGATGGCTGATGAGACTGATTCAGGATTGACAGACTGCTGCAACTCAGGCATGTTTTTCCATGAGAGACAGGTAACTCCAGATTCTTGATTTGGTCCATGACACTCTATATCTGCCACTCCCACTTTTCCATCTCCTGTTGTCACTGTAAGGTTTCAAACTACTGAGATCCTTCCAGCACTTTTCCTCCTGGGGAGGTCCTGGGCAATAGTCTCCCACGAGCTGATGTCAATGTTTCATTTTTTCAAGTTGCCCTTGAAGACTTCCTTGAAGCACTCAAGCTCCCCTGTAAAACTAGTTCTATATCTTACCTCAGACTTCTCCTATTGGAAGGCTGTTCTAGAACCTTACTGCTCTAACTTTCAACTTGAATTTATTCATGGTCCACCTTATATCCATCCACTTGTTCTTGTGCCCGATGTTGTTCGTTAGCTCACATAGTTCTCCTCCCTTCCTAGTGCATGCACCCTTAAATTTTCACAGACAGCAATTGTTTTGCTAGGCTAAAGTAGAAGAACTCTTTTAGTTTCCTCTTGTAACATAGATTTTCCATTTCTGTGATAATTCTCATACTCCTCTGTATCAATTCTGGTTTGAATTCATCTTGGTTGAACATGGCTGATCAGAATTGTTCATAGTATTTCAGCACTCATTCACCTTCCACATCTAAGGGGTTGGTAAGTTCAGAGAAGGTGAAGGATGCTGGCACAAAGTAGGGTAAATCTAGGATTCTAATGAATTATAAACTACAAAAATCTTAGATTTTAGAATGATATTGTCACTGAAGGAAAAACTACTTTGAAATGGAATAGAGACTAGTTTGTGTATATAAGATACTAAGGTTTCTCACATAATAGCATTCATGAATATTTGGGGGCATTAGTTCTCTTGAGAAGGCTACATAGGTTGCCCTTGGATGAACAAACATCCTTCTGAAGTCTAGTAGAACTGCTCACAGTGTTCTCTCTTGGGAAGCTCTATTGGTGCTAATTTCTCTCTTTGTTGGCTGATCCAGCAAGTGGTATTCTTCGCATACTTCCTGAAAGAAAACAAGCATTTAGCATTTAATAAAACGAGGAAAGTGTTTGCCCTTAAAATATTTCCTCATCTGGGGGCAGGTCAGTGGTGAAGAATAAATTCTGATTGCAGCTTGTCAAATAACAAACCAGCAGCCACGGCAAGGATTTGCTGGATAAATCTCTTTGACAAATACCATATTTACCCAAATCAAAGATGACTTGGTATTTAAGATGACTCCCCCCCAGGAATTAGATTTTATATATGGAAAAATTGCTATTAATTTCTATGTATGGAATCTAATTATTGGAGGGTCATCTTAAATTTGTGCCCCTGTGCTGCTACAGCAGAGAAAACTGTGGCAGGGTAACAGCTGATGAAGGGGGCAGGAAGCCTAACTCCTGCCCCTTGCAGCTCCACCACTTATCCCCCTTGCCATCTGCATCTCCTGCTCCCCCCACAGTGCCTGTGCCCCTGGTGCCTGCTTCCCTGACAGCTCCCCACAGTCTCTGCCTCCACCCCATCACTTGCCATGAGTCATGACTCTAGCCCCACTCTGGTATAGGGCACAGAGTATGTGTTAGCTCTGGCCCCGCCTGGGTCATGCAGCAGCAGTTAGAGTAGTGACAGCTCTAGCCCTGGGGTGCTGGAGCTGTTGCCACTGCTGCCACTGTTGTGTGGCTAGGCCACTGCCAGAGCTACCATACACTCTGTGGCTCAAGCCTGAATGGGGCTGGAGCCACAACAGATGGCAAGCAGTGGAGTGGGGGGGAGGCAGAGGGACAGGCATCAAGGGTCAGAGGCTGTGGGAGCAAAGGTGGCAGGGGACAGGTACAGTGTGGCAGGTGGCTGCTGCAGCTCTGCCTCCAGCCCTGACTTGGGCTCAGGGCCAGTCAGAACCACAGCAGTCGCCTGGCCTCCTCACCTTGTACTCAAATCCAGGATGAGTGGCTTTTCCCCATGTTCAACACGGACAAGAAACTTCATCTTGGATATGAGTAATTACAGTAAATTTGGCCAGCTTATAATGCAAAGGTGTATATGCTCAATAATAAAAGGAACAAAGTTTCTGCTGAATCTAAACTTGTTGAGCGCTGCCTATATATATTGCTGCCCTTTCATAGCACCTAATGAAGTGAACTTCAGTTCATGAAAGCTTGTGCTCTCTCTATATGTCTTATTTAGATAGCCTATTAAGACACATATCTACCCTGCTATCTGTATACGTAGGTAACATAACTGCCCAGCAACTTTCAGTAGTTCTGTTCTCTACATGAAGAGGATGACGATTACACATTACTATCTTTTTCCAGGACCGAGGGCACAAGGAAAGTTGTGGTTCTCCCTTAATATGGGTGCTGTAAAACGACTGATGTGTACTATGCTTAACGCAATGGAAGCAAAGGTAAAAGACACTACCCCATACTTATTAATTAGGTTGGATGTTGGATACTGAAGGAAAATATTTGATATGAGGCTCAGAGTGGTTTCCTCAGAATGTATAAAGAAAAAACAACATTCTACCAGCAAATCATTATTTTCATTTGTGTGTCTGTCATCCTCACAGAAGTACATTTAGAATCCAAACGGTCTCAGGCATTGGTTCCTACTCTTGCTTCCTGCTTTGGCTTTTAGAAGCTATAGGCACCTATACACAAGCGCAGAGGCTGCTCTGATGCGCTGGAATTACAGTGCATCAGAGCAGACTCAATGAGGTCTGCTGGAGCGTGGCAATTATTGCACTCCAGCAGCCTTTTGCATCTTGTGTATTAGCAGCCCCATGTTTAAAAATGGTGGCAGGGGCACTTGAGCTAAAGGTTATTTAACAAGCTATAGTTCAAGCACCCCTGCCGCCATTTTGAAGTGTGGAGACATTGATACACAAGACAACTCTTAGAACTGCTCTAATTAAAGTACTGGCCCCTCCACCCCTGAAGCACATGTAGAAGTACCCTATGTTTCCAAGCATCTCCTATGAATTGCTGTAGAATGTGTTTCTCCACTAGATGGCAGATTTTGCTTAATTTCTTTATTTAAACTAGTTTTATATGGCACCAGAAAACAGTCTAATGTATGAAACAAATCCTCGCTGGTTATTTCTGCTGCAGTTTCTTTAGTGATGGAGCAGAAAAGGAAGAGCAAAAGAAAGTGAGCCTATAGATTTGTTCAATGAATCTGTATTTCAAAGACAGGTAGTCAGCAATCACTGTTGTATTCTTAAGGAGTTCCTAGATTTTAGGGTCAGAAATCACTGTAAGCATATATAGTGATCATCTAGTCAGGATTTCATCTAGGGATTCTTGAAATGGAAGGAATTATTCTTTCCTACTGTGCAAAGAAAGAACACTTATGAGAACTAATACAATTTGGTTGAACAAGAATATCTCTTTTAGAAAGATATCTAGCCTTGATTTTAAAACACCAGGTAATGAAGAATCTACTACACCCCTTAGTTATAAAGACATTAATTATCCTCATGGTCAAACATAGGTGACTATCTTCAAATTTGAATGATTCTAACCTCACTTTCCAGCCAATTTATCCTATTATCAGTTGTGCTTTAGATAGATAGCACCTAGTGACAGTGAACATTGTTGCAACAGAAATGGTGATGGAAATAATCAACTTAAATTTAGGTGGTGATTTGCTGACTACCCAAAAGTATACAGGCCACATTCTACTTCACCTGTTAGGTGCTGAAATACAGTGCTTCTCCATCCTCCTCAAATCCCTGAAAAGCCATTAATACTCCTGCTTTTTTTTTACCTGCTTTTATCCTATGCAGCAGATACACCCACATTTTTATTAACCATTTTCCAGACACTCAAGTAGGCTGCAATGGAGTCACACTTAGGCACCCAAGTCATTTAGGCTTCTAATAGGTAGAGGAGGATCTGACCCTATGGGTGACATCCTTGCTCTACAAAAGTAAGTAGCAAAAATCCTGTTGACTTCAATAGAGGAAAGGATGTCACCTAATAGTATCTGTACTGTGACCCCATAATAATAACTATGGCCGACTGACTTCTCTTTGGCTTCTCTACCCTCTTATGTGTTACGCTGGATACTTCTGGAGCTGGTTTCTATGAGGTAATTAGCTGATGAAGAGTTACATTTAGAACATGCCAGAGAGATCTGAGTTATAAATATCAGTCCCATTTCTTTCTTTCTTAAATTGGAAGTAAATAAACAGGAGAAGGCTGTAAATAAGGAAGTAAATAAAAAGAGAAGGCTGAGGGGGGATCTTGTGGCCTGTTATAAACTGGTTAGGGGGGATCAGCAGGCGCTGGGGGAGTCCCTGTTCCCCCGAGCGCCACAAGGAGTGACCAGGAACAATGGTCACAAGCTGGCGGAGGGAAGGTTTAAGTTGGACATCAGGAGGCGCTACTTCATAGTCAGGGCGGCTAGAGTCTGGAACCAGCTTCCAAGTGAGGTGGTGCAGGCTCCCACCCTGGGGGTTTTTAAGAGGAGGTTGGATGACCACCTTACTGGGGTCATTTGACCCCAGTGCTCTTCCTGCCATGGCAGGGGGTCGGACTAGATGATCTGCTCAGGTCCCTTCCGACCCTAGAAACTATGAAACTATGAAACTATGAATGCAGAATGGAATCATGCATAGAGACAGCAGCAGACTATTAAGTGGTTGTTTTGTTATAGGACATAGATAATTTTACTAGTGAAGCTCCTGTTTGAAGACTGTGGATGAACTGTTTCATTTTTGTTTCCCCAAGAGATTTGCAAGATTTTTTCAAAAAACCTAATCACACAGAGTCAGCTCTGCTTATGAGGTGTGAAACAGAACAGGTGGGCCTCAGTCATGCACAGGATACCCAGTGGAAGGAAGGAAAGTAGTAGCATCCTCATCACTGTTTCTACACCAAAATCTTCCCTATTAAGCAGGGTAACGGTGTATACAAAACTTTCTGGGAGCAACATTTTTTGAGATTCCCAAACAACTTCTGCAGACCTGAGAGACTGAGATAAGCCCAGTCTAAAAGAACCTTATTAAAGCTCAACCAAACCTAGGAAGCTTTCAGGTCTCCACTTCCATCATATATAGGTCAGATTCACCAGGCCATACTTCAGTGTAAAACAACTGAAGTGATGAGGTTGATAAAGGAAGGCACTGTCTCCTCTTCTGGGGCTTAATCCTCACCATGGAAGGGTTATGTGCTCTTTGCCATTGCATTCAGTATGTGCAGGATCAGGCCCTTTATGAGTGTGATACTCCAAGAAAACCCATGTGGTGCCCTGTTGATCTGTGGCATTAAAAAAGTTGATTTTCTATCAGTAGCACATAGGGGAAGGTAAACAATCTTGCATACTTACTGTTTGGCTAGCTCCATGGATATTTGTTCTAAAGAGCATCCCTTTGTCTCTGGTATAAACATGATGACAAAAGCCAAGGATGCAAGACTCATTACTGTGTAAATGAAGCACACCCATGGCAAGCCAATAAGGTCTGTAGAAGAAAAATTTTAAAAAAAGTATTTTTTGGTGTTACAAGCTATTTGTATCTTAACCAGTGAGGTCTTACAAATCCTAACTCAGCTGCTCAGCCACCTTGAAGAAATACTTTACACCAGTGGCACTCAACCTCTAGCCTGTGGACCAGATCCAGCTCACAGAGCCATGTCATCCAGCCCAGAGGACTCTCCATTGGCCCATAAATCTGACGCCAGTGGGGAAGCAGTGGCAGTGTTATTGTTGCTCCGCTGCTGCCAAATTTCCCAATCTGTGGGAAGCCCTGCAGGCTCAATAACATGGCTCTGCCCTCATGTGTGGGGTTGCTCTGCAGCCAGATCTGGGAGCTCAGGGTTAGTGCACAGCCACATCCAGCACAGCGGGCCAGGCCAGCACATGGCCAAATCAGGGTGCAGAGGGTCAGGCCAGTGCATGGCTAGATCTGGCATGCATGATCAGGCCAGTGTATAGGCTTGCACCCCTCCAAGTGCTGACTCTGAGCAGGAACTAGCCCACAGACCAACCCCACATCGCTTGTCTGGCTCGTGGGGCTGGAAAGTTGGGCACCATACAATCTGCACCCCCTTGTTTGTAACTAACTGTTACTGAGAAGGAAAGATGAATATTTAATTGTGCCTTGGGCTGGAAACCTGTAGGTCAACAGCTACAGTTTAGTCAGGTTCTACTTGCTTGATTTTTTTGTTGTAACACCTACAAACTTTTTCATAGTCGTTGTTTCTACTACACTGCAGGCCAGAAATGTTTTGGGCTCCTTGAAATTAAATGAGTATCTGTTTTTGTTGTGCAAATTTCATGAAGCCAAAATAGCATATTTCAGTAAATTCCAACTAGCTTCAGTTAATCCTTTCATGCTGGCAGTTTCCAGCATTTCCATTGTCAACAGTGAAGCGTGTGCCAGAAATGGATCAAGGAGTTAACACATTTTAGTTTCAGGCAAGGATAATCAATTTTTTTCAAATATGCTTGGAACAATGGAAAATACATGGGATCAGTGACACAGAGAGACATGCCTTTTGTTATCTTTCACAGACATATAGAGAATGGAATTTCCTGACATGCAATAATTTGTGTCAAGGACTGAAAGTTAAGGTAGATGCTCTGAGGTATACTCTATGGTCAAATATGTAAACTTCATTGGCTTCAGTAAAATATGTATCTGAGTCTTGTAATTGAAGTGAGGGCTAAATTTTGTTTGCAATTACATAGATGCAAAACCCAGGCTAAATTTATTTAAGCTAGTAAAGTGGCCATGTAACTGATTAAAAAGTGTTAGAAAAAATATTGGCCAGCTCTAGTTTAGAGCAAAGCAGGACTGAATGTTAGGTTATTTTCTATAGCTGATTAGTCAAGTGATGTCTTGAAATTAGAGTTAGATACCTATGAATAAATCCAAAAGTGATGTGTAAAATGGTAGGCTAGTCTTTTACTCTTAAGCCCACTCTACTACATCAGGCATATTTAGACCTATTTACAGATCTGTGAATATAAGGCTATAGAGGAAGTCTAAGCTGGTCTGTCATACATGGTGAGGATATGGAAAAAGGTGTAAGTGATACCAACAAACCAATATTTGTAGATGCACCAATTAATTTGGCCCCTGTATTTTATTTCTAAATTTTAACTGATGATTAATCTTCTATAGGAAAAGTGTATGCCTAGTATTTGGAATATGGACTTGAGAAGAAACAAAGCATTCTTACCAGTTACGGTCAAAAATGTCAAGGAGATAAGGAGATTTATACCCCAGTTCATACTAGAGGTCAAAGCAATGGCCCGTCCTCTGATTCCACCAGGGAAAATTTCACTCAGCAGCAGCCAGGTCACTGAAATGAAGGAAAACCTAATAATGACACCATATTTGAAGGTAAAGCTTTCCCAACCTGAACAGATATACTTAGGCGCATAAATTCACCTGAGCACTTATAACTTGTAAAGAGAATAACCTCCACAATGTAAAATTGTCTTTCTAACTCTCATGAGCACCCTGAGCCTTGTGGCCAGAGTAGAAACATGACTGAAACTTCCACATGCCCTGTCAGTCTCTTGTTGGTACAATAACTCATCTAAGGTACTGGCAGGAAAGCATGACTTAGAGCAGCCCTTGGAATTTTTCTAATTCATGCAAGGGGAGTGGGCTAGGGGACAGTTGGACTATATCAGGAGAGCTCACAGTAGCTGTCTTGCACCTTCAGGTCTTTTTGTCATAGCCATAAATCTGGATCAGTATCTGGCTTTTAGAGCTATTCTTTCAGTAGAGTAACAACTGCAGGTTTCTGGTACAATTATACTAAAAATCACTGCAATTTAAATTAAAAAATAGAATTTTGGCAATGCTTTGTGTTAGAACATATGTTGCACCAGATATAACTAAGGATTCTTATTTGGCAAGGACAGAATTGGAAAAGGTGCAAAGGGAAAAAGATACTTGGGGGAAAATATGAGTAAGAGCCAGCTGAGAATAGCGCATGTGTCTCTGAATCAATGTAATAGACTCAAACAAGTTTTCTTTGAGTTTCTTCATTGTTCTCTTTAACCACAAATGGAAGACTAATAATATTGTTATGGTTAATCAAGAGTTTACGTAAAACTGGGAAGTACACCAAGGCCTCAATTCTCCTTTACACTAAAGCCTCACACCACTGTGGGAATAATATACTGCCAGAGTAGGGCAAAGAGTCCTTTGAATAAATAAGAACTAGGGTGAGATTGCACGTTAGAGTCAGCAGGCGCTAAGTCTAAAGAATGTTGGTCCATGTTAAGGTTAACTAGTGATCTGATCAGTCACACATTCGGGGTTAATACCCTCTCTAATGGGCACTGCTCAGACCTGCTGCCAGAGGGATGGCACACAGGGGCATGGCTGGGGACTTCAAGGCTACTCCATGCCTGCCCTGCTCACTGCCACACTATAGGCCAGGAAGGAGGGGAAGGAAGGGCCTCCCCCCATATTGCTTGGATATCCCCGTTCATCCCCCACATTTCCCAGATGCCACCAGTCAGGTCCTGGAGGAATCATCCCCCACCCTTGTTTGGCCCTTCCACACCCAGATCGCTGCCCTGCTACTCCAAGCAGTCCAGCAGCAGTGGTAGAGGCAGGAATGGGGGGTGGGTTCCCTCCTCCCTGACTGCTCCTGGATTCTCTGCAGTGCATGCTGACCCCATGCACCTGGATGCAGCCCCCACCAGGGCCTGGGGATGTCTGGAAGCTTCCTGTCCCCTTTTTACCCCTTTTTCCTGCCCCACTTTCAGGTGCAGGGACTGGATCTGGGTGCACAGGGGTGGCAAGAGCTGTAGGAACCCCAGAAGCAGGCAGAGAGAGAGGACCCTCCCACCACCGCCTTCACCACTCTCAGGCTGATTAGGGCAGCAAGGCAGTGATCCACAGGTGGAGGGGTTGATGTGGGGCAGAGGGAAAAATTAGGGTAGCAGGGGAATGATTTGGGGGACAGTGGTTGCCATTTAGAGGGGGCATCAAGTCAGCAGCACCCCTTCTTCTACTCTGTCCCTCTTCCCTGGTTAACTTAATTCAACCTACAAAACACAGACAGCTAATCCTTCCCCCAAGTGGTGTAACTTTAAGATGCCTAAAGGGCACTTAGCACTTGTTAATGAGCTCTAATGTGTCATCATTCAAGTTTTAAGTGCTATTAACATGTTCTAATTGTAAATGTATAATCTCACCCTTAGAGCCATGATGTCATGACTTACTACATTAGGGCCATCCTACATAGCCAGAATACAGCACCTCAATTTAATAGTTTATTATAATCTATCTTTGCCGAACCAGGTAAAAGCTGACTTCAATTCAGCTGTATAGGAATAGTGAAAACCTCTTTTACCTGGTCTACATAGTCACTATACATTAAAAAAATGTTACTAACATTTTAAACTGTAACGTGGGAAAGCTGCAGGTGTTTTTAAGTACTGTGTCAACCAGCCAATTAAAAACAGGCTTTGACAATTGTTGGCCATCTCATTAACCTTGTTTTGTCATTGTCACAGCACAATCAGTGCTGTCCAAGTGTGAATCATTAGTCACAGCAGGTATAACATGTCACAGCAAGCAACCCCAGCCATAAAATATAAGGCAGCAAATATAAACTAGCCAAAAAAGGAAAGCAGTGCCATTTTGGGTCAGGCTACAGGCCTATCTTCCCCAATATTCCAGGGATCAGCAACATTTTGCCACCCCAGGCACTCTGTGACCTGGCTCTCTGCTGTGGGCTGCAAGTCCCACCCCACCATCCCCAGGAGAGTTCAAGCATTTACCCTTCCTGCTGATACCTTCCCTCTGCAGCAAAGGTAAGCACGGGCACAGAGAGCAGCTGGCAGGGCTGCTGGAGAGGTTGCCATGTAGGGACAAGCAGCTCAGTGGAGGCCCTCTCAGAGGTGGAGAAAGGCATGGGCAACTTCCATTTTTTGAGGCTCCCAGTATATTAAAAAAATATTAATTCATAATGCACTACAGACGGTGTGGCCCAGTAATGGGACACAAGTTTAAAGTTGTATGATGAACATCACTCCCCCCTGTGATAGGCCCTGGCTCAGCGCAGCTGTGTGCTGCCTGATGCTCTGGGCTAGGTTGGACCTTCTTGGCCCAGATCCAGCCTGTGGGCTATAGACTGCTGGTCCCAGAAATATTCTGTATCTCATCATACCAGAGGGTGGATGCCAAGGAAAGAACACTTATTCAGGACGTATCCAGAGTGATCTTGCCCTAACTCTCTTCCTTTACAGCTTCCAGCATTTAGAAGCCCAACTTTGGAGGTTGCTGCCCTACTACAGTATTTAATACCTACTTACGAATTTGTCTAAATCCTCTTTTGGACCTGGTTAAGTAATCAGCCGCCACAACATCTTGAAACAATAAGTTCCATCAGTTAATTACATGCTGTTAAAGACACTGCATAATTAGCTGGTGGGACTCCTTGCCAAAGGGTATCATTAAAGCCAGGAGCCTAAAAGGATTCAGCACAGTAATGAGAAAATCCACATTAATGAGAGCTAGGGTTAAAGGCATAACATATAGTTAAAGCAACATTTGGGAGAGATCTTTCTTCAGGGCATAAACCAATCTCCAACCAATGGAAGGATTAGGAAGAAACTTCCCTCTCTGGGTAGATTGTTCATTATTTCCTGGTGTAAGGTTTTTTTTTTATACTCTTCTTTGAAGTAATTGGCACTGACCACTGTCCAAGCCTGGACAGGGCTTCAAGTGACAGAGTGCACAAAGCTAGCCAAACGTAGGGCAGAGTAGAGGAGCAGTGGCCTCGGGACTGATTTGACTTGACTTGACTTGACTGCCTAAGACAGGAGCCTAGACCAGATGGATCATTTGTGTGATCTGTAGGGGTGGAAACACCTCCAGTGTTCTGTACATTAATGTATTCCTGCACAAGACTAACATACACTGAAAGGCCACTTGTACACGTGCTGGGAGTTTAGTTCTCCCTAAATTGAAGTGATGGTCCCATCAGCTCACATCCCCATCAGCTCACACCCCCTACTCCTCCACCACAAAGCAAGCAGGCTCCAGCGAAGTGAAAAAAAAAAAGCAGTGAGGGCCCAATCCTTTGTTTTGTTTTCCTAGAGCCTGCCTACCTCTTCTACAGCCGGGAGACAAGCTGCCGGAGGGTCCTGAGCTGCAAAGGACCCTAGTGCTTCCCTCCATGGTGGCGGCAACCCCAAGTGGTACCTGCCCGCTGGCACCCTGCCCAGGTGATCCTGGGGGGCACTGCTGTCACAGAGGAAAGCACTGGGACTCCCTGCAGCTCAGGGGCTGTATGACCCACTGGCATCTTATTTCTTGCAGGCAGGCTCCGGGAGAGGAAAAAATAAGATCAGGCCCCTGCTGCTTTTTTCTTTTTTTCCTCAGTCCAGCCTGCACACATAAGCTGCTGATGGGTCTTGCAGCCCCTGAGCTGTGGGGGGCCCAGTGCTTCCTTCTGCAGCAGCAGCACCCCCTGGGGCTGTCCGAGCAGGGTGCAGCCCCAGCTCACAGGCAGCACCCACTGGATCCAATGGTGCATGGGGTGTTGGAAGCCCAGGCATACTCAGGAGAGCTTGGGATTTGTGGGCTTCCAGTGCCCCATGCACCATCCCTGCCACCTTCCCGCCACCTGGGACTACCCAGGAACAGGGTGGCTGCCCTGGGAAGGCCACAGGAGGGTGGCTAGGTATGCTGGCAGCCAAAGAAGGTGGCGGGCATGGTCCACAAGGTGCTGGAAGCCCACCAAGCCTGAGTTTCCCTGAGCACACCTGGGCTTCCAGTGCTCTGTGTGCCATGCCTGCCACCTTCTCTGTATAGGGCCCTTGTACACACGAGGAATATAGCTGTAATGTGTTACGTGGCAAACTAAACATGGGATGTGTTTTAGTTTGCTAAGCAAAAAAATCATTTAAATCAAAACATGCTGCCAAAGGTGTACATTTTACAGAATTTAATTGTAATATGCCACCAAATGTGTACACTGTTACACAATTAAATAATTAAAAAGGGCAATCAAACCACTAAAAGGGGCAATTTCCTCATGTGTACCAGCACTGGTGCCCTAACTGCATTAGATCTTAAAACAACTACATTAGTGCTATAGCCCTGGTCACATAACACATCTTTTCTTGTGTGTACCTATTCAATAGTAAGCTTCCATTCCTTTCCAATTAAACAGGGCCCCTTGGGCTAAAATACAATTTATCAGCATGATTAGAAAATGTAGCACGTGTGTCTTGATTCACATATATTGTGCGCCCACATGCAATCTATAGCTTGGTTCAGCCACATCAATGTTTAAAAGCTTTTATTCAGTCTAGTTGTTTCAGCTGT